CCTATGTACGGTCAAGTTGGGGAGGATTGTGATCATCTATTTTTTCAATGCCCTTTCTCATCTGTTGTATGGCAAGCTATAAAACATAAATGTAACTTGACTTGTGGTGGTACTGATTGGAACTGTCACTGAGGTGGCAAGGAAATGTAAAGGAAAATCTTTGGCTTCCATTATTAGAAAACTGAGCTTCTGTTGCACTGTGTACTATTTGTGGTTGGAAAGAAACAATAGAGTCTTCAACAAAGAAAATAAACCTGAAGAGATTGTCATTCAACAAGATGGTGAGATGTAGATCTATGGCCCTCTCAAACATTAAGAAGTCCAGTAATGATGATTGGTTCCTCCATAAGTGAAACATTCCTAGTACCAATTGAGGATTGTGTGTGCTGTGTGCTGAGTGATTGTGAGCCTAAACAGAGTGTATTATTATATGAGAGTTACCATTTGTGGGTTGAGTGATGAGAGTTCTAAAAACCATCTACTTTTCTAACATTGTGTACTGTTTTGCAGATCCAACAAAGGAAGAGAGATGTGAGTTCAGTAAAATATGGGTTGAGTGGAGTGAGCTTCCTACATTGTGGGGTTTACTAATATATTTCTGCATATGTTTGCTATTATTTGTTACAGGCACAAGAAATTCAAGCATCGAGTGGTGTGAGTTCAAAAGTTGTGGGCCAAGTGGTGTGAGAGTATATAATGAGTGTTGCGCTTTGTTATGGATGTTATATATTTGTGGATTGAGTGATTCAGTTTATATATAAAATTAGAGGGTCTTAGATATATTTTTCAGATTGTGGTTGTTGTTTATAGTCTATTTCACTGTTTTTTTGGGGGGGGTGAATATAGCCTATTTCACTGTTGTGATTGGTCTATTTCAGGTCATTCTACAATGTATGAGGATCAAGATAAGTTTGAAGGCATCGTTGACCGTGCTGCATATCTGCGCCAGTCTCAATGCCTTGCATCTTTAGAGGATGCTTTTGTGTTTTCTATTTTACTTTCCAGTTTCAAAATAATGTATATGGAGTTTATATGGGTTTCTTCCTGTTTTGTTTTGGATTCCTTTCCTACTCTAGCGGGATGTGCTTGGGTCTATTAGGCACTGTCTGCTTTTTGGATCTGGTTGGGTTCTTATGGTTTTGCTGGTGTACTTGCTCATATACAGGTTTCTTTTGTGGTGGTGGGACCTACGGCTTTTTGAGATCTATTGCTATGAACCTGCACTCAACGGGTTCCTTGTGTACAGTGATAGAATGGATGTCTTGGATGATTTTGGTTATCTCTTTGCTGTCTCTTCATGGCTGCACCGTTTAGAGTGCTTCTCTCAGTGGGTAGGATAGGTATGGTCCTCACTAAAACTCAACCCTCAATGGAAAATAGCAACACTCAAACCAGCTTGTAGCAAACTGCAAGATTAACAAACAATTAGGTAACACACAATATATACTCCCCTTCACTCAACCCACATTTGCTAGACTCACAACACTCAAAGTTCTTCTGCTTCCATCACAAGAATTCTTCTTCAAGATAGAAGTACGCAGCCTCCATTTGCTCATAAACCAATTGTCATTAGAATGAGTTTTCAAATTGTTCATAGAAAGCATTCTAAATCGAATCATATATCTAATTTTACTGTTGGCACTCTTCCGGTGAAATACTTGGGTGTACCCTTGATTACTATGAAGCTTAAGGCTACTGATTGTCAAATTCTGGTTGACAGGATTACTAAGAGGGTCAAAAGCTGGACTAACATGCTCCTTTCTTATGCGGGTAGAGCTCAACTTATACAAACCATTCTTTTTTCTATGCAAGTATATTGGTCTTCTCTTTTTATCCTTCCTAAAAAGGTTATTAGAGAGATTGAATGTATTTTGAGATCCTTTCTTTGGTCTGGGGTTAAGCTGAAGAATCATAGTGCTAAAATTGCTTGGAAGGATATTTGTAAGCCTAAGAGTGAGAGGGGATTAGGTTTCAAAGATTTCGGTGTGTGGAACAAGGCGGCTATAGCTAAGCATGTTTGGTTCCTTTTTTTGGGGGGGGTGGGTTCGATGTGGTGCCAATGGGTTAAGTCTTACTTACTCAAAGGCAAGAGTTTTTGGTATGCTAAAATACCTTTTTTTTAGGTGGATAAGTCATAAAATAAAAGACAAAAAAACTTACACCACTACAAGGGGCATACCCCAGGCCCTAAGCCAAAGAACTATACAAGAAACAGGACCATAAGACTAAAATAAACAAACCAAAGCCGAAGGGGCCTTAACCAAACCAGTATAAACTGTTAAAACTGTTAACATAACATATCTAAGTGATCAAAAGGAAATAGAAAGAAAGAAAAAATAAAATTAAACTAAGGAACTCAATCATAGTAGAAAATAACCCAAAAAATGTGTTCATGGGCCGCATGAAGATTAAACTAACAAAAAGCCAAGAGTAACCAATCTGTTTTGTACCCCCGTGTACAGCCCTCACAGGTAGGCCATATACCAAAACAAACTAAGCAAAGCAACATAAAATAAAATCTTTCTTCACACAAAGAGGCGCCTCTAGCAGTCAACCATGCGAACACAGTCAGTTCCCCAACTCGAAGGAACCAAGGCTGAATCCTAAAACAGACAGCACCATCAGAAAAAGTACTGTTCTGCCACCCCATGCATCCCAAACAAAGCTTAGACATTATAGTATACCCTGTAAACAACAGATACCGAGACAAGATTATCAGGTCCACAAACCAATAATAACATGACAGGTCACATTTTACACCACACATATAGATGCTCACTACACTCAACCCACAAATATATAAGCTCACATCACTCAAGAAATATTGCTCCATATACCTGCAAAAATAACAAATACAGGAAATATATAGAAACATGTTAGTCCCTCTCAATATGGCTAGTAATATTGGGTTTGGAGTTAGTTTATTCCTCACACTATACTCAACCCTCATAAAATATGGCACACACTCAAGCTTCCCCTCGCATACCTATAACAATAACAAACATTAGGAAACCCCACATTGTATATTCTTACCATCACTCAACCCACAGTTTTTGAACTCACATCCATCTCAACAGATACAGCATGCTTCAACAGAGTATGAGGTAGTCTCCATGAGCTCAAGTACCATCTATCAGTATGGTGTGAATTCAAATTGGTAATATGCATTACCCTGAATCTAACCACGTCCACAATACACTTTATAATCACCTCTTCAAGGACCATATCCTTACTAAAGACTCTATTATTCCTAGCAATCCATAACTGGTACACAGTACAAGTAAAGGCAAGCTTGGTAATAATAGTCCCTAAAGACTTCCCTCTCACAGATTTAGCAATGAGCTAGACCAAGTCATTCCAAGGAATTGATGGCCAATCAACATTCATTTTACCTTTTACATAGGCCCAAACTCTTTTAGAGAAAGGACACTCAAAGAAAAGGTGGTTGTGGTCTTCACATGGGTGTTGGCAGAAGACACACTCAGTAGATTGGGTCACACCCAAGAGTTTTAATCTATCTCTAGTGTTCAATCTGCCAAGGATAGCTATCCACGCCACAAAACTCACTTTAGGGATGTTATGAGGCCCCCAAAAAATCTTAGACCAGTTCACATGATCAAAATATTGCCTTAATGAGTGCCATGTAGACTGGATAGTAAATTTACCATTAGAAGCAGGGCTCCAACTAACATCATCTGACCCACCAGAAGGGAGAAAGGTGGAAGGAGTACTAGCAATGAGGTCCATAAGCTCCCATGAAGAAGGGAAAGGCCACCTCCAAGTAGTCCCCTCCACAATCGCACTAACCTTAGCATCTAGACTCAAGGCAGAATCATAAACAATTCTAACCCCAAATCTATCCCACACAAATCCCATAGGGTGCTAGTTATCAAACCAAAGAGATACATTGGACCCATCTCCCACCCTATGTTTGATTAAAGGGTAAATGATGGGTCTAAGAGAAAGAATTTTCCTCCAAGCCCAGGAGGGGTCATTTGGCACCCTAACTCTCCAAAAACTTCTACCTTTTAGAATATAAGATTTAATCCACAGGCACCACATAGATTGCTCACCCCTAGAGAAGAGGAACCAGATATGCTTAGCAATAGCAGCCTTGTTCCACACCGTAAGAGATTTAAACCCCAAGCCCCCTTCATTCTTAGGGGAACACAATCTATCCCAAGACACCTTAGACCCATACTTCTTCAGCTCACAGCCAGACTAGAAAAAGGCTCTAAACAGACTCTCTATGGAACAAATGACCTTCTTTAGAAGAATAAACAAAGAGGTCCAGAACACTTGCATAGAGAAAAGAACAAATCGTATCAGTTGGGCTCTACCAGCATAAGTGAGACACTTATTAGTCCAGCTTTTAATCCTCTTTGTTATTCTCTCCACAAGTTGAACACAATCAGTAGCTTTAAGTAGAGACTAAAGGAACCCCTAAGTACCTCACAGGCAAAGTGCCTTCACTGAAGTTACAAACCCTAAGAATCTCATCTCTTAAATTCTGTTCACACCCAGAAAAGAAAATGTGACTCTTATTAGGGCTAGGGGACAAACCAGACAAGTTTTGAAACTCCTCTAAGCCAGTTTTGATGGACTGGACAGTGAACACATCCCCTTTACAAAAGATCATCAAATCATCTGCAAAACATAAATTGACAAGTTTCGTTTTATCACACCTCCAATGGAATTTGAATTCAGGATGAGAAGCCTTCTCAGCCAAAATTCTAGAAAAAATCTCCATGACTATAACAAAAAGGTATGGAGACATGGGGTCACCTTGCCTCAACCCTCTCTCCCCCCTAAAATAGCCATGAAGACTCCCATTAATACAAGTAGAATATGTAGGGCTAGTCATACAAGCCTTTATCCAATGGATAATATTATGAGGGAATCTCATAGCTGTTAGGACATCAAGAACAAAATCTCACCTAACATTATCGTAAGCTTTCATAATATCCACTTTCATGGCACACTTGGGAGTAGGTGATGATTTATGATAGCCCCTCATAAGCTCGTGAAAGAAAAATATTATCAGCAATTCTCCTCCCAAGGACAAAAGCTGATTGCACAAGATCAATGAGATCATGAAGAACAATTTTAATCCTATCAGTAATGATCTTAGAGATGCATTTGTATAGAGTGTTACAACATGAGATTGGTCTGAAGTCCCCCACTTTTTCAGCATTAGGGATCTTAGGAATGAGAGCAATGGAGGTACTATTCAATTCCTGAAGGAGCTCCCCAGATGTAAAAAAAGATTTAATAGCTTCAACAACCTCTCTCCCCACAACATCCCAGGCTTTAAAAAAGAAACCCGCAGAAAAACCATCAGGGCCAGGGACCTTATTAGCTTTTAGGGATTTGAAGGCATCAGTGATCTCTTTCTCAGTAGCCTCCCTAGCAAGAGCTTGGTACTGAGCTTCAAACACTCTTTTGGTGACAAGGTTTCTAATCCTATCAAGCCCATTATAGTGGTCCACAAAAGGCTTCCCAAACAGATTAGTGAATGAGTCCACAAAAGATTTATGGACCTCTTCACTTTTAGTCGCTCTAACCCCACTAGGAAGCACAACACTATGGATCCGACCCCTATTCACATTACCCTTAACAGTTCTAAAGAAGAATTTGGAATTTCTATCGCCCAAACCTAACCATTGGACACGGGATTTCTGATGAGCAAGACTTTCCTCAACTTTACTAAGATCTACATATCTACCATAGGCAGCCCTTTCCTCCTCTTGAAGAGTTAAATTCATCGGATCTTTATCAAGCTTAATCTGAGAATTAAGAAGATGATCCTTAGCAACTCCAACTCTGGTAGAAATCTCACTGAACTCCTTTTTGTTTAAAGCTTTCAAAATAGGTTTTAGAGTCTTAAGCTTTTGACAGACCCTAAACATAGGAGAGCCCCTGATGTATTTTCTCCAAACACCATGCACTCTAGGGAGGAACTCAACATGGTCAGCCCAAAAATCAAAGAACTTAAAAGGTTTTTTTAATTTGGCCTCCTCAGGACCAAGGTGTACAATCACAGGTGAATGATCAGAGACACCAAGAGGCAGGAAAAGAGCATACGAGTTGGGATTAACAGTTAACCACCTCTCGTTAACAACTCTATCAAGTTTTGAAGTAATAAAATTACCACCCCCGCGTTTATTAGACCAAGTAAACTGACACCCATTGTAACACAAGTCTTCCAACTCAGAATCCAAAACCAGATTATTAAAAGTATCATTAGCACTACACCAACCCTCCTTCCCCCCTATTTTTTCATATGAAAATCTAACAGCGTTAAAATCACCAAGGAAAATTGAGGGGTGATTAGCATGGCTGATAGCAATCTTTTTAAGATCACAAAAAAGGGAAAGTCTCAGCTCATGCTTATTTTCTGCGTACACAAAAGTAGCAAAGAAATTGAAATTGCTCTCAAAAACAGTCACCTTTACAAAAATGAACTGGTTTGACTTTTGAACCACCAAAATATCACAAAAGTTTGGATCCCAACATATCCAAATTCTAGCTAGCAGATTTGGTTGTGAATTAGACAAAAATTTCCAATTTCTAAAGCTATGTTCAAAAAGTTTAGCTTCATTTTCCATTTTAATTTTTGTTTCCAAAACGCCCATGTTTCCAAAACCCTCTAACATTCCAAAAAGAGTTTTATAGACATGATAAAAATATCTAAATAAAAGAGAACACAACCAGACCACCACAAAAAGGACAACACTATTTACCTCTTTTTCTTTCTCTGGCTTCCTGAAGTTCTGCCAGAAGACTTCTGCTTAGTTGAACTACCCACCTTTGTTCCACCATCCCCTTTTCCTCCCTGTATCTTAGGTGAATTTGCCATCACTTCATCTCTTCCCGCTTGCTCAATACTTCTAATAAAGTCCTCTGCTACTGGATTTATGATTTTTGCAATCTCCAGCACCTCAGCATGGAATGCAGCTATTTGATCTGTGGCTTTTTTGCATCAATCTCAGTATGGATAACAACCTCCTTACACTGGACTTCATTCACCCTGTCATTTTCCATTGTTGCAAATGCACTTGTTTTTTCGATATGGACATTGTGCTGATGGTTGGTAACCAACCTTCCTTTTACCCTTATCCTTAACTTTTGTCCAGCCCCCATCAAGTTCAACCCTTTCTTCAGTGATCTTCTTTAACTCAACAAGTTTCTCCACTTGAGCAGAGAGGTAGGTTTTAGTTTCGTGCCCAACAACATGGCAGTGCAAACATCTAAAGGGTACACCTTGATACTCCACATGGATAGTAATAGACTCTTCACCACTAGTGATGACAAAACTGTCAAGGAAAGCAGAATCCGTAGGAATATTCACACATACTCTAGCAAAGGAAATTCGACTTCCTGAAGATGTAAGTTGATCCATAAACAAAGGTACCCCCACTGCACTAGCTATCCTACTTAAACCATCCCCATCCCAGTATTCCAGAGGAATATTGTAGAATTTCACCCAAACAGGGATAGTTTTCTTATCTTCCTTAGACAGCTTCATCATGCGATGCCACTGCTTCAGAATGAGAAGGAAACCTCCCACATACCATGGTCCTCTCTCTAAGACATCTATGCAACAATCCCAATTTTCAAACATGAAAAAAATAAAACCATCATCATTCTTCAGGATTTCCACCAGACCCTTATTCTTCCACATATTGAGCGCGTTATTTTTAATTAGGATGTTAAAATACCTAGTGACCCCTCTTGGGTCTGGAGGAAAATTCTGTCTCTTAAGAAGATCATCAATCCTCTTATCAACTTTAAGACTGGTAATGGGGAGAATGTTTTTTTGTGATTTGATAATTAGCATCCCTTGGTTCTCTTTGGGATAGATTTGGGCATAGGATTCTTTATGATACGGGTTTTCCTTATGATACCAAAGTTAGCTCCATTATCTCAAATTTTGCAAATGGCCAACTGCTAACTCTTGGGAAATTAGGGAGTGGATCTCTTCCACTCCTCCAACATTTTTGCCTTTTGCTATGTAATTATATTTTGTCTTGCCGGCAAGGACTTTTTGTATATCTGTAAATAGTCTGTCATAGGTTGACTCGTTATTGGATGATCCTGTCTGTATTGAATTTTGTGAAACTGTACTTTTGATGTGAGTTATTAACGTATCTGAGTATGGTTGTTTGATGTGCATATAAGCACGGCTCTATGGACAAATTTTTAAATTTTTGGCTTCCGTTTGGCCCCTTTACTCTGACAAGTCTTCTTCTTGTTTCGGTCTGAGGCCGTAGGTAATCACAGGATTACTGGCCGGTCATGTCCTTAACCCATAGGGGCGGGTTAGGGTCGTGACAATATCCTTAGTAAAGACTTTATTATTCCTAGCAATCCATAACTTGGTACACAGTACAGGTAAAGGCAAGCTTGGTAATAATAGTCCCTAAAGACTTCCCTTTCACAGATTTAGCAATGAGATGGACCAAGTCATTCCAAGGAATTGATGGCCAATCAACATTCATTTTACATTTTATACAGGCCCAAACTCTTTCAGAGAAAGGACACTCAAAGAAAAGGTGGTTGTGGTCTTCACATGGGTGTTGGCAGAAGACACACTCAGTAGATTGGGTCACACCAAAGAGTTTTAATCTATCTCCAGTGTTCAATCTGCCAAGGATAGCTATCCACACCACAAAACTCACTTTAGGGATGTTATGAGGCCCCCAAATAATCTTAGACCAGTTCACATGATCAAAATGTTGCCTTAATGAGTGCCATGTGGACTGGATAGTAAATTTACCATTAGAAGCAAGGCTCCAACTAACATCATCTGACCCACCAGAAGGGAGAAAGGTGGAAGGAGTACTAACAATGAGGTCCATAAGCTCCCATGAAGAAGGGAAAGGCCACCTCCAAGTAGTCCCCTCCACAATCGCACTAACCTTAGCATCTAGACTCAAGGCAGAATCATAAACAATTCTAACCCCAAATCTATCCCACACAGATCCCATAGGGTGCTAGTTACCAAACCAAAGAGATACACTGGACCCATCTCCCACCCTATGTTTGATTAAAGGGTAAATGATGGGTCTAAGAGAAAGAATTTTCCTCCAAACCCAAGAGGGGTCATTTGGCACCCTAACTCTCCAAAAACTTCTACCTTTTAGAATATAAGATTTAATCCACAGGCACCACATAGTTTGCTCACCCCCAGAGAAGAGGAACCAGATATGCTTAGCAATAGCAGCCTTGTTCCACACCATAAGAGATTTAAACCCCAAGCCCCCTTCATTCTTAGGGGACAATCTATCCCAAGACACCTTAGCCCCATACTTCTTCAGCTCACAGCCAGACCAGAAGAAGGCTCTAAACAGACTCTCTATGGAACGAATAACCTTCTTTGGAAGAATAAACAAAGAGGTCCAGAACACTTGCATAGAGAAAAGAACAAATTGTATTACAAAAGGAACCCCTAAGTACCTCACAGGCAAAGTGCCTTCACTGAAGTTACAAACCCTAAGAATCTCATCTCTTAAATTCTGTTCACACCCAGAAAAGAAAATGTGACTCTTATTAGGGCTAGGGGACAAACCAGACGAGTTTTGAAACTCCTCTAAGCCAGTTTTGATGGATTGGACAGTGAACACATCCCCTTTACAAAAGATCATCAAATCATCTACAAAACATAAATTGACAAGTTTCGTTTTATCACACCTCCAATGGAATTTGAATTCAGGATGAGAAGCCTTCTCAGCCAAAATTCTAGAATCTCCATGACTATAACAAAAAGGTATGGAGACATGGGGTCACCTTGCCTCAACCCTCTCTCCCCCCTAAAATAGTCATGAAGACTCCCATTAATACAAATAGAATATGTAGGGCTAGTCATACAAGCTTTTATCCAATGGATAATATTAGGAGGGAATCCATAGCTGTTAGGACATCAAGAACAAAATGCCACCTAACATTATCGTAAGCTTTCATAATATCCACTTTCATGGCACACCTGGGAGTAGGTGATGATTTATGATAGCCCCTCATAAGCTCTTGTGAAAGAAAAATATTATCAGCAATTCTCCTCCCAGGGACAAAAGCTGATTGCACAGGATCAATGAGATCATGAAGAACAATTTTAATCCTATCAGCAATGATCTTAGAGATGCATTTGTATAGAGTGTTACAACATGAGATTGGTCTGAAGTCCCCCACTTTTTCAGCATTAGGGATCTTAGAAATGAGAGCAATGGAGGTACTATTCAATTCCTGAAGGAGCTCCCCAGATGTAAAAAAAGATTTAATAGCTTCAACAACCTCTCTCCCCACAACATCCCAGGCTTTAAGAAAGAAACCCGCAGAAAACCCATCATGGGCCTTATTAGCTTTTAGGGATTTGAAGGCATCAGTGATCTCTTTCTCAGTAGCCTCCCTAGCAAGAGCTTGGTACTGAGCTTCAAACACTCTTTTGGTGACAAGGTTTCTAATCCTATCAAGCCCATTATAGTGGTCCACAAAAGGCTTCCCAAACAGATTAGTGAATGAGTCCACAAAAGATTTATGGACCTCTTCACTTTTAGTCGCTCTAACCCCACTAGGAAGCACAACACTATGGATCTAACCCCTATTCACATTACCCTTAACAGTTCTAAAGAAGAATTTGGAATTTCTATCGCCTAAACCTAACCATTGGACACGGGATTTCTGATGAGCAAGACTTTCCTTGGCTTTACTAAGATCCACATATCTACCATAGACAGAGCCCTTTCCTCCTCTTGAAGAGTTAAATTCATCGGATCTTTATCAAGCTTAATGTGAGAATTAAGAAGATGATCCTTAGCAACTCCAACTCTAGTAGAAATCTCACTGAACTCTTTTTTGTTTAAAGCTTTCAAAATAGGTTTTAGAGTCTTAAGCTTTTGACAGACCCTAAACATAGGAGAGCCCCTGATGTATTTTCTCCAAACACCATGCACTCTAGGGAGGAACTCAACATGGTCAGCCCAAAAATCAAAGAACTTAAAAGGTTTTTTTAATTTGGCCTCCTTAGGACCAAGGTGTACAATCACAAGTGAATAATCAGAGACACCAGGAGGCAGGAAAAGAGCATACGAGTTGGGATTAACAGTTAACCACCTCTCGTTAACAATGACTCTATCAAGTTTTGAAATAATAAAATTACCACCCCCGCATTTATTAGACCAAGTAAATTGACACCTAGCACAAGTCTTCCAACTCAGAATCCAAAACCAGATTATTAAAAGTATCATTAGCACTACACCAACCCTCCTTTCCCCCCCCCAATTTTTTCATATGAAAATCTAACAGCGTTAAAATCACCAAGGAAAATTGAGGGGTGATTAGCATGGCTGAAAGCAATCTTTTTAAGATCACAAAAAAGGGGAAGTCTCAGCTCATGCTTATTTTCTGCGTACACAAAAGTAGCAAAGAAATTGAAATTGCTCTCAAAAACAGTCACCTTTACAAAAATGAACTGGTTTGGCTTTTGAACCACCAAAATATCACAAAAGTTTGGATCCCAACATATCCAAATTCTAGCTGGCAGATTTGGTTGTGAATTAGACAAAAATTTCCATTTTCTAAAGCTATGTTCAAAAATTTTAGCTTCATTTTCCATTTTAATTTTTGTTTCCAAAACGCCCATGTTTCCAAAACCCGCTAACATTCCAAAAAGAAAGTTTTATAGACATGATGAAAATATCTAAATAAAATAGAACACAACCAGACCACCACAAAAAGGACAACACTATTTACCTCTTTTTCTTTCTCTAGCTTCCTGATGTTCTGCCAGAAGACTTCTACTTAGTTGAACTACCCACCTTTGTTCCACCATCCCCTTTTCCTCCCTATATCTCAGGTGAATTTGCCATCACTTCATCTCTTCCCGCTTGCTCAATACTTCTAATAAAGTCCTCTGCTACTGGATTTATGATTTTTGCAATCTCCACCACCTCAGCATGGAATGCAACTATCTGATCTGTGGCTTTTTTGCATCAATCTCTTCAATCTCAGTATGGATAACAACCTCCTCAGACTGGACTTCATTCACCCTGTCATTTTCCATTGTTGCAGATGCACTTGTTTCTTCGATATGGACATTGTGGTCAGGGGATGGTTGGTAACCAACCTTCCTTTTTACCCTTATCCTTAACTTTTGTCCAGCCCCCATTAGGTTCAACCCTTTCTTCAGTGATCTTCTGTAACTCAACAAGTTTCTCCATTTGAGCAGAGAGGCAGGTTTTAGTTTCGTGCCCAAAAACATGGCAGTGCAAACATCTAGAGGGTACACCTTGATACTCCACATGGATAGTAATAGACTCTTCACCACTAGTGATGACAAAACTGTCAAGGAAAGCAGAATCCGCAGGAATATTCACACATACTCTAGCAAAGGAAATTCAACTTCCTGAAGATGTAAGTTGATCCATAAACAAAGGTACCCCCACTGCACTAGCTATCCTACTTAAACCATCCCCATCCCAGTATTCCAGAGGAATATTATAGAATTTCACCCAAACAGGGATAGTTTTCTTATCTTCCTTAGACAGCTTCATCATGCGATGCCACTACTTCAGAATGAGAAGGAAACCTCCCACATACCATGGTCCTCCCTCTAAGACATCTATGCAACAATCCTGATTTTCAAACATGAAAAAAATAAAACCATCATCATTCTTCAGGATTTCCACCAGACCCTTATTCTTCCACATATTGAGCGTGTTATTTTTAATTAGGATGTTAAAATACCTAGTGACCTCTCTTGGGTCTGGAGGAAAATTCTATCTCTTAGGAAGATCATCTATCCTCTTATCAACTTTAAGACTGGTAATGGGGAGAATGTTTTTTTGTGGTTTGATAATTAGCATCCCCTTGGTTCTCTTTGGGATAGATTTGGGCATAGGATTCTTTATGATACGGGTTTTCCTTATGATACCAAAGTTAGCTCCATTATCTCAAATTTTGCATGGAAATGGCCAACTGCTAACTCTTGGGAAATTAGGAAGTGGATCTCTTCCACTCCTCCAACATTTAGGCCTAGTAGTGAGACTCAGGATAGACCCTATTGGAAGCTTAATTCTGATGGGCTCTTTTCTATTCAATCTACTTGGGACTGTTAGAGGGATAAAGGTCCTAAAGTCCCTTGGGCTAATTTGATTTGGGAGCCTCCATCCATTCCTAGGGTTAGCTTTGTGGTTTGGCTGGCTACTCATGAGAGGTTAAATACTAGGGATAGATTGCAAATGTTTGGTCTTGTTTCTCAACCTATCTGCCCTCTTTGCCAAGCTCCTGAGGAGAATCATTCTCATCTGTCATCACAACAACAAAAAACACATTTGGCGACCCAAAAATTTGTCGCCAAAAGTATAAATTTCGTCGCTAAAAGAATCGGCGGCAAAGTATAAAATTGGTTGCCAAAGCCCTGTCACTAAAAATATTGGCGACGAAATCAGAAATTGTCACCGTATATAGACATTTAGCGACAAGCAAAATTGGTCACCAAAAATCATATATTTTGTCGTTATAAAATTACAATTTGTTGTTAAAAGGTTAAAATTTGGATAGGCTATGTAGTTTTAGCGACAAATAAATACGTCGCCGAAAGTACTATTTAACGACAAAATTAATTTGGTCACTAAAAATTCACGTTTTTAGCGACGAAAGTTTTGGTTGCTAAAAGTTCTTAGAATAACCACTAACTTTTAGTGACAAAAAAATATATTGTCGCCAAATATATTAACAACGACAAAAACACCACCTGTCACTAAAAATTCACTACACAAATTTTGATTTTAATAATTTTCCTGTTCAAAATAATTCAAAACACTTGTTTTCCTGTGCACAATATATACACAAATGTAATGTAAATAATAATACACTTGTGCAAGACATTCATACTAATTCAAAATTAATAGCTATGAAAAATCTCAATAAACATAATTACAATTCTCTGACAATCTAAAACATGCATACCAAAGTACTTACAAACTACTAACATCAAACCCATAAATACATTACCAAATCCTATGTCAAAATATTTTCAAAAACACAAAACTAAATATTTTGATGCTAAACATCTAATCTATAAATCATTTACCAAAATCCTATGTCAAAATATTTCCAAAAAAACAAAATCAAATCTTCTGATGCAGCCCGAACTGTTTTCCACCATTGCCAATCTATCACATGAAAAAAGAAAAAACAATATTAGATTGACAAAACAAAAAAAAAAATCGATATAAATTTCACAATTTTGATTTTAATTTTGTAACGGGAAGTCCAATTGGGTGTTGTTTGCTCATACAAGTCTATTTAGGCTTGAACAAGTTGCCCGTACCAAGTTTCGATGGTTTCAGTGGTCATTTTGTAATTTCGGCCCCCGAACGGGCCTTTTAAGTCTTGTGTTTTACATTTTTTCTAGTAATTTTCTAACCGAAAATCCAATCGAGGTCCCGTTTGTTCCTACAAGTCTATTTAAGTTTGAACAAGTTGTCCATGCCAAGTTTTGGTGGTTTCGGTGGTCATTTCGCAATTTCAGCTCTCGAACACGCCTTTTAAGTTTGTGTTTTATAATTTTCCTTCTAATTTTCTAACAAGAGATTCAATAGAGGTCCCGTTTGTTCCTACAAGTCTATTTAGGCTTCAAAAAACTGTCCGTGCCAAGTTTCGGTGGTCATTTCGAAATTTCGGCCCCCGAACGGGCATTTTAAGTCTTGTATTTTACATTTTTTCTTGTAATTTTCTAACCGGAAATTCAATCAAGGTTCCGTTTGTTCCTACAAGTCTATTTAGTTTTGAACAAGCTGTTTGTGCCAAGTTTCGGTGGTTTCGATGGTCATTTCGTAATTTTGGCCCCCGAACGAGACTTTTAAGTCTTGTGTTTTACAATTTTCCTTCTAATTTTGTAACTGGGGATCCAATCACGGTCCCGTTTGTTCCTACAAGTCTATTTAGGCTTGAACAAGCTGTCCATGCCAAGTTTCGATGGTTTTAGTGGTCATTTCGCAATTTCGACCCTCAAACGGGCATTTTAAGTCTGGTGTTTTACAATTTTCCTTCTAATTTTCTACAAATCTATATAGGCTTGAACAAGCTGTCCGTGCCAAGTTTCAGTGGTCATTTCGCAATTTTGGCCCCCGAACGGGCATTTTAAGTCTTGTGTTTTACAATTTTCCTTCTAATTTTCTAACCGGGGATTCAATCGAGGCCCCGTTTGTTCCTACAAGTCTATTTAGGCTTGAAAAAGCTGTCCGTGCCAAGTCTCAGTAGTTTCGGTGGTCATTTCGCAATTTCGGCCTCCGAACGGGCCTTTTTAGTCTTGTGTTTTACAATTTTTCTTCTAATTTTCTAACCGAAGATCCAATAGAGGTCCCGTTTGTTCCTACAAGTCTATTTAGGCTTTAAAAGGCTATCCGTGCCAAGTTTCAGTGGTCATTTCGAAATTTCGACCCCTGAACGGGCCTTTTAAGCCTTGTGTTTTACATTTTTCCTTATAATTTTTTAACCGGAAATGCAATAAAGGTCCCGTTTGTTCCTACAAGTCTGTTTAGGCTTGAAAAAGCTGTCCGTGCCAAGTTTCGGTGGTCAGTTCGCAATTTCGGCCCCTGAACGGGCCTTTTTAGTCTTGTGTTTTACAACTTCCCTTCTAATTTTCTAACCAGAGATCCAATAGAGGTCCGTTTGTTCCTACAAGTCTATTTAGGCTTCAAAAGGTTATCCGTGCCAAGTTTCGGTGGTCATTTCGAAATTTCAGCCCCCGAACGGGCCTTTTAAGCCTTGCGTTTTACATTTTTCCTTCTAATTTTTTAACCGGAAATGCAATCGAGGTCCCGCTTGTTCCTACAAGTCTGTTTAGGCTTGAAAAAGCTGTCCGTGCCAAGTTTCGGTGGTTTCGGTGGTCATTTCGCAATTTCGGCCCCCGAACGGGCCTTTTTAGTCTTGTGTTTTACAACTTGCCTTCTAATTTTCTAACCGGAGATCCAATACATGTCCCGTTATTTCCTACAAGTCTATTTAGGCTTCAAAAGGCTGTCTGTGCCAAGTTTCGGTGGTTTCGGTGGTCATTTCAAAATTTCGGCCCCTGAACGGGCATTTTAAGTCTTGTGTTTTACAATTTTCCTTCTAATTTTCTAACTGGAGATCCAATCGAGGTACCGGAGATCCAATCGAGGTCCCATTTGTTCCTACAAGTCTATTTACTAACATTGCAGCACAGCCTTACTATGATTAAACAAGTGATTAAAATATGAGATTTCTCATATATAGTTCTAAGAGCATACCAACATCAACATAGATCCTCTTTGCTGCAGCCTTGATCTGTTATGTAGATGGAAAAAAGATAACAAGAAAAGGCAATAGTTGGTCAAGTTTTTGTACAATAAGAATATGAAAGTGAAACTAAGTTTCAAACTACCTAATTAAAAAGTGAAGCTAAGAGGTATGTCAACCAAAGTTGAGTTCAACCATCCATACCTTGAGTTCAAAAGTTTCTTTAGAAACTGTAGATGGAAAACTGTTAAGAGGCATGTAAACCAAAGTTGTTAACCCACCTGGGGCAAACAAAAAAATAAAGACAGCAGTTAAGAGACATAGCTTGAAGAAGAAAATTCTGCAGGTGAGGAAATGAGTAAAGTTCAACTTTGAGTGAGTATTTTTAACGCTGACGGATCCTCTTGCAGAGCTTTTATGAACTATTACAACAAAACATAAATAATAAACTGAATTTTATTTTTATTTTTACGATTAATTATAACTTCAAAGAAGCATTTCTTACCCTTGACATTAAAGCAAAATCAAGTAAAATTAGAGTATCTTCACAAAAGAAACCAAGACACCACACATCAAATACCATAAAGAAACCAAGACACCACACATCAAATACCATAAGGACAATAATATGCAAAAAGTCACAAGTCAGTTGAACTGATAAAACAAAAAACCAGTAAGAAAAAGAACAATTTGCAACCCAGGCATCACATCTTTATAGTTATATTTGTTTTACCAACACAAAGATACGAGAGAAAACAACAAATGAAGCTTCAGGTGCATTTGTGCTAATGCCAAATACTAATGCACCCAAAGAAGGCTTCAAAATAATTTGGAAAGCATACAACATGCAGTGGAATTCAAAAGAAAAATTACAAGTCAACAGGATAAATGTTAAATAAGACCTGGAAGAAGGTAATGAAGATAGAAGTGGAGCTGAATGAAAGGAAAGTATATCTAATATTCAAATAAATAATACTACAAAGGGGGAATAGCCAATAAGAAAGTGCACAGGATCTGCCACATTCTGGTTTTAAGAAACTTACATTCAGATTCTTCCTCAGTTTCATCATCACTCTCAACTTCCCATTCCGTAGATACAGCGTCAGAATCTGCTGCATTGATGAAACTGAAACTAGTAAAAAAATGATTAACAGTAGAGCTAAGAAGCAAGGACACAAGCACAAACAAAGACAGGATACAACATGTGACACGCCAACATGGATATTTCATAAAATGCAAGACATGAGACCAAATACCTTAGTAGCTCACATGGAGTCTCTTGCCATAGAGAATAAGAAATTGGTTAGCATCGCTGTCAACTGATGAACTTGAAAGAGCACATCCTATCCATTAAGAATGCCATTTTAAATATCAAATGAAATCCAACAAGAAATAGATTCATATCAAATAGTGTTACAAATATCTAGATGCACAAGAGTCAAAAAAAGAGCTCATCTCTAGTAGATATCGTGCCCGTCTGTAATAACCTAAAACCTGCCCACATCTTATTTATCTCCTGCACACATTAAACTAACATTTATATCTCAAGATTGTTGACACAGATTTAATCAATCAATCAACCAAACAGAGGAAGAAACGCAAACAGGACAGCCAAAGGCCTCATTTTAAAAGACAACAGATCCAAAGATCAAAAATCTGAGGAGGCCATGTCACAAACAGATCTGGGTAACCCATTTTTGGGCCCCACAAAAATGGATGACCCAGATCTATTCAACACTTACAAGAGCTAAGTACAAACAAAACAAGTCCAAAATCCCAAAATCCCTCTCTGAGACCTTGCCACAAACAATTCTAGTGCATAACCAGAAACTTGTCAAAACCGCAGCAACACAAAAGCTATGATGCTTGGATCATGAAGCAAACACAAACCCGCTTATCCTGAGCCTGATGCCTACAACCAACATCGCATTATAGTAAAAATAAAAAATAAAAAATAAAAAAATCAAGGATTCTAATGTTCTTCCTTCAAGACAAAAAGGAATATTCTGAGTGTAAAGAAAACAATTAATTATATCAAGCAAAGCTTGTTTGAAACAATAATACCCATCATAGAAACAAATACAGGGTACTTACAAAGCCCTTGTTCCTTCCACAGTTAATAAGTTCTCAGGAAAGATGACTTGTATCACAATGAGCAGAGAAGTTGACAACTTCCCACCGTTCTATTCGGATGGGGGTAAAGAGTTGCTTTAAAAGAATAAAACAAGAACAAGTAACTGCCAAATTAGTTCACAAAGTTCCTGAATTTAAGCAAAATAGGGAATGTAAAAGAATTATCAATTTCTGCAACCCTCTACCTAAAGTTGGAACACTTCTCTTCCATTATCATAACGAAACCAAGGGAATACCTTGTTAAAATTCCATCGTCCATTACGAGGTATGCAATCTTCGCCATTACCAACCTTCAACTACAAGATCAAACCCCAAGCCAAACACCACAAATAAAAACAACCAAAGGCTATCAGCAGCCACACCCAGATTCAGAGCATCACAGCCATCTGCAATATTTGTGTCTACTCTTTGCTGCTGAAAATAGTTTAGTTATTCAAATAAATAATAATAATAATAATAATAATAATAAAAATAAAATGATAATGACTAGTGTTGTTTACTCCATCTAATAGAATTATAATTTTGCCCATGTACTAATTAAAAGTAAAAACTAACTAATTGCCCATGTACCCTCTGTTCATTTTCTAATTCATTGCAATATGCAGTTTGACAACAAACTGTATAAATTCATTTACTGAATATCATGCTATAATTTTAAGCATTGAAGTCAAAAGATTCTTCTAGCAACTCTATTTTATAGCAGAAATTCATTGCCAGTAAAATTGCATATTCACTTTCCCTCCTGAAAGGCATGGGAGATGAAATTACTAATGTCTGACTATGAAAATATGTTTTAAAAAAATCTCAATCACAAATACACAAATAGTTTAAATGATGAAGAATAAAGGCAAGGCAATCTTAGCACAAAATTCAACCAAATGCATATAAGATCATATCAAATTACCATGGGCGAATATCACTTCCATTCACTCTAAGTATGTTCTCTCGCAAAGCCAAACCTGTGTAGAGAATTAACAACCATGCCTGAAAAACAAGCTTACTTGGTAAGTCAACAAGAGATGGAAATAGCTGAACAAATGACCCAAGAGACATCAATGCTGGAAACACACTTAGAAACGATTTTTCAAATCTGCATCAAAAAAGAAAACAGAAAAAAAATATACGTATGAAAGTCAGTAATGCCCTTCACTGCAGATTGAGTCCACAGTATCTCCGAAAGCATTTTTTTAGATCCACCTTTTTGAAATTAAACATGTGTTTAGTTGTCAAAATTTCCGTTAGGCTCAATTAGTTTCAGTAGGAAATTACTATACCATATTTTGTTCCAACAAAGTCGGGAAGGTGCATAATAACTTTAAACATACAAAATAAGATGTGGCATAAGCAACAAAATTTATTTTTGAAGTAGCATTGACAGGACAAAAATAAAATAAAACTACAATTATGAATACCAATATATGAAGGGTCTTGTTAACAAGTGTCCAGGGGACACAAAAAGTTGATCCAAATTTTTTTTTTGAAAACACAAGACACTTTTTATTAAATTCAATGCAGTTTTTATGGAAATTAATGCACTTCTTTTAACTGTTTGACCTATTTTCAAGACTCCTTTATTTCAATCCCAATATCCAGCACTTTTGGCATTTGTCATATACAAATATCTCGAGGACACAACAATTGCACGAATTATAACTAAGATCATTCCAATAAAATAAATTAAATATATCTTTTAAGAACAGAACCAAAAAGATGACATGAGGAACTTAGCGTTAATGGGAAAAACTACAAATGCAAGACTGATGTTAGAGGAGGATAAGTTACCAAAATATTTGATATACATGTTTCATACTTCTTCTTTTCTACTTCTAAATCTGAAAATTCAGTCAAATAAAGAAACTAAACCCCAAGCAAAGAATCATGCCAATTTCAAATCATACCTGAGGGAGAAATGTAAGGAAATTAGTTAAAAGTTTTCTCTTGTTAAGATTTCGAAAGTCCAGTGTAGCTTCAGCAACAACAGGGTCTAAAAGTTCACTGCAATCAAACATTGGAAGAGTGATTTTCAAATACGATTTATCGTATGATATGCCATAATAAATAGAGAATAATTGTTAGATGAAATCATAATTTCTTTTTTTCCCCATAAATAACTTATTGTGAAAGAAGGACTACAAACATCTTTACCAGCTCAAACATGAATGAATGAATAGGGTCTTTTAATACGATGGACTCCTCCCCTCTTCAGGTGGGAAATTCTCCAAAACTGGTTTAAGATGTTGGCCAGTCACTTTAAAAACATTACCATTCTTGGGATTTTCAATCTGGGCCCCATGAGAAAAAACAGTTTTAACTATGAAACGGCCCAGTCCATCTAGATCTCAATTTACCAGGAAACAAATGTAGTCTAGTTTTATACAAAAGAACCTTTTGTGAAGGATTAACAATTCCTTTGAGCACAAACAATATTAACATTAAAAACATATCATATACAATGACACGGGAGGACTAGTCAATCAACTAGATGCCCTTTTTTCTTCCAAAACAGCACACCTTTTCTGCTCCCTTATCAACAAAAATATGCAATCCTGCCTTTAGGCAATAGAAAGATTATCCTTTATTCGATGAAAAGCTACAAACACAAGACCCTTGTGAGTACAAAGGTATACATCTTATGTAGACGGGTAGAAAATTAAGATAAAAATTACCATTTGTTTTGCTGAATTCGAGCAGCCCGAGCACCCTTGACAACATTGCGGTCAGATTTAGCGTTTTTGCTATTATCTAAGTCACCAAATATATATTTCATAAAAGGAACAAATAAAGAACAGAAGACGGGTAGTAATTAAAAGTTTTTACAAATAAGTATTTGAAGACCAAAATCAAAATATTAAAGGACTGGAGGTACAATGAAATCTTATCTAACCTTTGAGAGAGGTTTTGTGGATGTTATGAGATGATTTAGAAGCATATCGAGTCTTATGGGCCTTGTTGAGCAATTGATATTGTTGAAGGCTCAAATGTAGTTTTTCTACAAATTTAAATTAAATTCATTAAATCACAATTAAATACAAATTGAGAGAATGAATATAATATCCAAAATTCATAGAACAACTATGTAATTTTAAGCATTCATCACACCTCCCAACCAGCTTTATTGCTAGAACCTAGCAATTAGGGTGACTAAAATAAAATCAAAAAGTAAAATAAAAGCAACAACTCTAAATCACTTCTGCAAGAAATCACGATTGAATTTAGCACATGCAACAAGCCCTTAATCCAATAGGTTACCCCTCGTGGACGAGTAAAAGTCTCGTGAGGGTTTCCAAAGATGTTACCCACAAACATCCAAAAATTTCTTTACTAAAAGGATTTCTTTCACTCTCATGCCAAAGTTAAAGAACCAGCCATGAATTTCACAACCTTAACAAGATAATCAATCAAAGTTCAAGACACTAGCAGCAAATAAAGATATCTCATGACATTCAAAATTTGGAGTGTGTGAAAAAAGTTTAGCAAACACAGACACAATCTTAGCCTTAAAGTGAAATATAACCCAAATCTCTTTCTGAAACATGCTTCGACTCAAATCTCACAAGTTATTGCACTCAACAAATAAATCACTCAGAATATGGTGCAAAAATTGCTCTCAATATATGCGAGTAGAACAATGTAAATCCAAGGCAAAATATCCCGCATACTAATTTTTTTGAAAAACGCTAATATGAAAGAGTCTAATGAATGGAATATCAAATACTGAGAATTAAAATTTCTAGAAATATTACCCACAAACGTCAAAAAATTTCTTTACTCAAAGGATTTCTTTCGTTCTCATGCTAATGTTAAAGAACAAGTCATGAATTTCACAATCTTAACAAAATAATCAATCAAAGTTCAAGACACTAGCAGCAAGTAAAGATATCTCAAGACATTCAGAATTTGGAGTGTGTGAAAAAGTTTAGCCAACACAGACACAACCTTAGCCTTAAAGTGAAATTCTGAAACATGCTTCAACTCAAATCTCACCAGTTATTGCATTCAACAAATAAATCACTCAGAATATGGTGTGAAAATTACTCTCAATATATGCGAGTAGAATAATGTAAATCAAAGGCAAAATATCCCGCATACTAATTTTTTGGAAAAACGCTATAATGAAAGAATAAATAAATAGTCTCATGAATGGAAAACCAAATACTGAGAATTAAAATTACCACACCATCACCCCAATCCATCATGTCCACTTGTAAACTACACCACACTCAAGATCAAATAGGACTTTTATTTGGTTGTAATGCTTGGGTTGAGGAATTAAGAAAAAATAATAAAAAGCCAAAGGTGAATGAATAAAAAAATGGATGTCTGAGACATTATTGGCATAAAAATAAGCTCTAATCTGAGAGATTATTGGCATAAAAATAAACACAGTTAGAGCATTATTCCAAATGTTTTGCTCTTTTTGTTACTTTTTTTTTTTGTCTTTTTCAACTTCCTCCTTTTTTTTTTTTTCTTTTCGTTTTGCGCCCCCCCCCCCATTGAACACAATTTATTTCTTCTTCTTTTTTTTTCCACCTTCTCTCCTTTTTTATTTTTTTTTTTTCAAACAAATTTGCCATTGCCAAACTCAACTTACCCAACATATCTACAAAATTGAAAAGAAAGTATGGGTTGTGGGGTTAAACAAAGAAAGGCTAACATAAAGGCTCAAATTGGTTTCTAATGAAGTAATAATAAAGGAAAGAAAAATAAATAAAAGGCTCAATGAAACAAAGATGGCCTAAAATCATCTCTCAATTCATGATCTCAAAGGAATAAAAGTATGGTAACAAATTGATTTATCCAAGAGAGAGAATGACAAACTGAGGTGAGGAGAAGAGAGAGAGAGGGGGGTCGGGGCCAGCGGTGATGGTGGCGATGTCGTCGTGTCGTGACTATGAGAGAGTTGAGTTGAGAGAGAGAGAAGAACAGGAGAGTTGAGAGAGAGGGAGAGAGTTGAAAACGAGAGAGTGAAGAGAGTGAGAGAGTGAGATAAGTGTCAGAGAGAGTGAGATAGTTGAGAGTCAGTGAGAGAAAAGATAAGATCAAAAGTGAAATAGATATTTATATAATACAACTAAGAGGAACAGAGACGGGGATGAATCGGGGAAATTTCAGGGCGGGGCCAAGGCTGACGAGCCTATTCTCGTCCCCGGCCCTGGCCCGAAAATTATCGGGGATGTATTTTTCAATACCAGCCTCGGCCCTATGGTGAATAATTTTCGAGGAAAACCCGATTTATTGGGACAGGGTAGTCCAGTCCCCGTTGGGCCTGGTTGATATTGCCATCCCTACTGAACGCCTACTAGATCAAGCAACACAAGTCTAGTCCATACTACCCCCAAGGGAATGGACAAGCTGACCAACAAAACCGTCATCCGAATATTGAGTAAAATAATGGATGAAGCAGGGGGCACATGGTCTGAACGACTCCCCGTAGCACTCTAGGCGTATAGAACATCAAAGAAAAAGCCAACTCAGGCAACCCCATTTTCCCTAGTGTACGGGTCCGAAGCTGTGTTACCAGTTGAGTTGGCAGTACTCTCAGCAAGAATGGCTATGTCAGCACACTTAGTTCCAGACAGCAGAAAGAATGACATAGAGGTAGCTGAAGAAAGAAGAGATCGAGCCTCGCGGGCAATGGAAAAGTATCATCAATCCATAGCTCGTGCCTACAATCAATCTGTTCAGCACAAGAAGTTCAATAAAGGGGACTTGGTATGGAAGACAGTGGACGAAATCATGTGGGGCAACTAATTCCCAAGTTCTCACCAAGATAGGAATGCCCCTACAAAGTTGCTGAGGCAAGCAGCAGCGAGTACTACAAGTTGACAAGAGTAGATGATGGGTTCAAAACTGGCCCTATCATCGACACGTTGTCTGCATGCTCGAGGAAACCATCGACTGCCTGAAGCCTATCCCTCATCCACGATAGGTCCAAGCCGTTCCTCTCAAAGCCGCTCAGGTTTGCCTCGGCACTTTCCACGAACTTGCTAGGGGTGGTCAGAATCTTCTTAGTAGCAAGGTCGCAAATGAAGCTGGCGAGTGACTCCAGCAGTGTTGTCTGCACCATAGATCCAGGAACGTTAAAAGCAAGAAAGGTGCCAGGGTGCAGCTCCTGGATATGGGGCGAGAGTGGGAGCAGCTGCGGAGGAGACCCAATAACTTAGAAAAGAAACTTTCTCTGAGGGTTGAGGGGACTCCCTCACACCCCTGCCAACTTCAATCACTGGAGGGAGATTGGTGGAGCGACCAAAGGTCTAAGGACGACGCACTTCCCCTGAAGATGATTGCCTAGCAGCATTGGAATGGGTAGATGCAGCGTTGGCGACCGGGTGACCTGCACCGTCATGTCGCTCCGAAAAGAGGTCTTCCATGTGGTAGTCTCCAACGATCAGATCTGGAACAGCAGTGGTATCCATTCCAGTATAAAAATCTTGGGATACCCTAAGGTCAACTGGCACTTTCGGAAAGTGAGTGGGGTACAAGTCTGCCAGCTGTTCAAAGGTTGCCGAAGCAATTGGGTCAGAGGTCCCAGCGACAGCAATAACAGTGTGGGTGGCTAAAGTGACAGCTACCTCTGCAAGTCGGTCCAAATTTAGAGGGGCCCCAACAGGAACAGTGGAAGCAGTTGCTACACTTGCACTCTCCTCCGCCACTTGGGCGTTCGGAAGTGGGGTCTGCTGAACTAATGGAGACTCAGTGGACTGGGAGGAACCACCAGATGCAGTTCCTAAGGGAGGTGGTGCAACTTCCAGCGGCTCTCTCATGCCGCTATCTTCCCTTGGAGTCTCAAGGAAAAAATCCTCTCCTCCGCCGACAGAGGAACGGTCGGAGTGCACAAAATCAGCGAGGTTTAGAGGCTCTGCACCCTCCAACTAGGCCGCCCGTAACAACTTCCACAGCAGGGGGAACTTCATTTTCTGCAGCCTCCACAACTGGCTCAGCCTCAGTAGTTGGTGCGGCCCCAACACTTGGTTTTTCTTCAACATCTGGAAGTACTGCCGACAGAGGAACGGTCGGAGTGCACAGAATCAACGGGGTTTGGAGGCTCTGCACCCTTCAACTAGGCCGCCCGCAACTTCCACAGCAGTGGGAACTTCATTTTCTGCAGCCTCCACAACTGGCTCAGCCTTAGTAGTTGGTGCAGCTCTAGCACTTGGTTCTTCTTCAACATCTAGAAGTACTGCCCTGTCGGTCCTGAACCTTGTGACCTTGTAGCAATGGGAAGGTCGTCGTCGTTGTCGTCGTCTGAATCTGAGGAAATTCCGATGGCAGTAGAAAAACCTCCAGGGTTGGTGGTATGGCCGGTGGGCCCTGATTTGCGATTAGTGATGCTTCCAGCCCAATTTGCATCTGTATGTACTTCCACTTGAAGATGTCCTTACTTTTTAAATATCAAGCCTTTATCAGGATTTCCCTTTAGATACCTTAGGATCCTGTATGCTTCTTCAAAGTGCTCCTTTCCTGGTGAATGCATGAATTGGCTTACTCTGCTTACTGCGAATGCTATGTCGGGACGTGTGTGAGATTAGTATATCAGTTTTCCAACAGGTCTCTGAAACTGGTCTATACTCATCACATCTTCAATTCTAGCATGCTGTAGCTTCAAGTTGAGCTCGGTTGGTGTTTCAGCAGCTTTACATCCGAGCAAGCATGTTTTTTTGATCAAGTCAATTGTGTACTTGAGCTGAGTGACAAAAATGCCCTCCTTAGATGTAGCGAACTCCATTCCAAGAAAGTATCTTAGTGCTCCAGGACCTTTATCTCGAAATCTTTAGCAAGTCCCTTCTTTTAACTTTTTCGATTCGGCATTATCATTACCTGTTAGAATTATGTCATCTACATAAACAATCAAGATAGCTCCTTTACCTTCTCTTGAGTGTTTATAGAACATAGTATGGTCTACTTGGCTTTAACTGTATCCAAGGTTTTTTACAACCTTCCCAAAGCGTTCAAACCACGCCCTTGGGGATTGTTTGAGGCCGTATAGAGACTTCTTTAATTTGCAGACTTTATCTATACCAAACTTCTTTTCAAAACCTGGAGGTAAGTTCATATAGACTTCTTCTAGATTTCCATTTAAGAAGGCATTTTTTACATTTAATTGATGTAGAGGCCAGCTGGAATTAACTGCTAGTGACAGTAAGACCCGAATTGAGTTCATCTTGGCAACTGGAGCAAAGGTTTCTTGGTAGTCAATCCCGAGGGTTTGTGTAAACCTTTTTGCCACGAGTCTCACCTTATATCTTTCCACGCTACCATCAGCTTTGCACTTCACTGTAAATACCCATTGGCACCCTACTGTCTTTTTGTCCTTAGGCAGATTCACTAACATCCAAGTGCCGTTCTTTTCTAGAGCATTCATCTCTTCCATAACTGTTGATTTCCAATTAGGATCATCCAAGGCTTCCTTAATAATTCTTGGGACAAACAGGTTAGATATTTTTGAAGTAAATGCTCTATGACTTTTAGAAAGTTTATCATAAGATAAATATTTCGCAATGGAATGATGGGTACATTTTCGAATTCCTTTCCTAATGGCTAGAGGAAGATCACAATCTATGGGTATAACATAGGTAAAACCGCTGAAGGAAATGGAGATGAAATAGAGACAGATGATGGAGGAACCAGATTAGGAATACCTGAACTACTTGAAGGACCTTTTTTAAGAGATTCTGATTGGCTTTGTGGTAGAGTGGTTGGCTAGTCTTTACTTTTTCTTTTAGTATTTTTCCGAGCATAAACCAAAAACTCAGGTTCAGGAACAGTTTGTTCCAATTGTAGTATTTCTCCCCCTGCTTGTGAGCCTTCTATGTTTGGAGAAGTTGGACCGAGATTTCCTTCGTTCTCCATATCTTGAATACCCTGTTTCTGTTCTTGTTTTTCAGAAAACAAGAGATGGAAATCGAATAGGATTTGGTAAGGGATCCGAAGTTGTCTGCCAAAAGTTTTCTTCCTTTTTCTTTTTCTCCCCTTGAAGAGAATTTTTGGTAAAATAGGATTGAGTTTCAAGAAAGGAGACATCCATAATCATCCAAATGTTTGTGTTTGAGGATTATAGCACTTGTAGCCTCTTTTGTTTGGAGCATACCCAATGAAAACACATTTTTCTACTCTAAGATCAAGTGTGGATCGAATTTGGCTGGGTATGTGAATGAAAATAGTATAGCAAAAAAATTTTGAAAGCAAATTTGAATTAATTCTGCAATCAAAAAAGGTTTTTTTGAAAAATTTTAGGGGTGTGACATATTGCAAACCCGGGTAGGCATTCTATTAATTAAATAAGAGGCTGTCAAAATGGCATCTCTCCATAGATATTTGGGAACATATATAGAGAACATTATGGCTCATGCTACTTCCAGTAAATGCTTATTTTTTCTTTCGGCAATACCATTTTGTTGATGAGTGTCACGACATATAGATTGATGAAAAATACCTTTTTTCCTAAAAAAATTCCCTAGATATTCATTGAAGTACTCTTTTCCATTATCAGCTCGAAAAATACTAATTTTTAATGAAATTGATTGTCAATCATTTTGTAAAAATCTTGAAACACGTTTTTTACTTCAAATTTGTCTTTCATCAAATAAACCTAGCAAAGCAGAGTGTGATCATCTATAAAAGTTACAAACCACTTTACACCAGTCATGGTGGTAACCTTGGAGAAACCCCACATCACTATGAACTAAGTACAGAAATATATTCCTTCTTCCTCATATTTTCGGAGTTCTTCTTCCTCATATTTTCTAAGTATAACAACTTTCACATTGAAAAGACGAACAATCCAAATTTTTAAACAAGTTAGGAAACATATGTTTAAGATATGAAAAACTAGGATGTCCTAGTCTAAAATGCCAAAGCATTATTTCTCGCGAGCCGAAAGTGAACTAATACTACAACCATAGCCTTGAGTTGTTTTATTGGTGGATATGTCATCATCAAAGTAGTAAAGACCATTGACCATTCTAGCACTGCCAATCAACCTCTCCAAGTTTCGGTCCTGAAATTCACAATGAGAGTCAAAGAAAACAACACGAAAGTGAGAGTTTTTGGATAATTTACTGGCAGACAACAACTTGTAGGCCAGTTTAGGAACATGAAGGACAGAGTGAAGAGTAATATTTTCTAAAATTTTTATTTGAACTTTTCCTACAATGGGTGAGAAATTGCCATCAGCAATCCTAACTCTTTCACTTTCAAAAGAAAATAAATAAGTATTGAATAAAGAAGAGAAAGAAGTCATGTGATCAGATGCCCTCGAATGTACATTTGGATGGATTGAAACCAACGCAAGAAATTATCACCATTGAGTTTAATGCTGGTGATTTGCACCGAGTGAGAATCAATGTTGGAGACATGTTTCTCAATGTTTTTCGGTGAAACGGTAGCAGTGGATTCAGATGTGGTTTCTGATATGGTGAAGGACAGCTTGCTGGTTCTAGGATTACCTCAGAAGGGTCAGAGAATAAGTTCTCAGCTTTGATACCATGAAAGCTAGAAAGAACAATATTTCTTATTCTCATATTTAAATAATGTACATAGCACCTCTATTTATAGGAGATACAAGGCATAAAATTAGGAATTGATTAGCTACTAATTAGCTACTGATTCTGAGGACTGATTAGCTACGATTTAGCTACTAATTTTGATCCTAATAAACTTTCCTATTCTATAGTATTGACTAAATCTAAATGTTTACAGTTGTGATATCCAAAAGAATTCAGCCATATAATATAGTTGATATTTGTTAGTTTTCCTTTTCTCAACTTCTGTGGCGCATAGGCATTGTTCGTCATGCTATGCTTTTTAAGGGGTAAATGTTTTATTGCCATAAAAGGGGATTTACAATGAAGCTCATGACGTGCCAAAGGCAATAGCCCCTCTAAAAAAGAGCTTACGCCTAGCCTGCAGAACAATTAAACCTCAGCAATTGGCATTTTAGGATAGAAATTTGTGTGCTTTGCAAATCCTTAGAGCCTGGGGTCAAGAGAAAATTGAGAAACTAATTGGCATGAGTCGTATTTTATTTTTGAGTTACTGCTTATGTCTACAAATTGGCTTTCATACTTAACCAAAAAAAAAAAGAAAAAGAAAAGAAAAAACCTCAGCAATTGGCATTTTAGGATAGAAATTTGTGTACTTTGCAAATCCTTAGAGCCTAGTGTCAAGAGAAAATTGAGAAACTAATTGGCATGAGTAGTATTTTATTTTTGAGTTACTGCTTATGTCTACAAATTGGCTTTCATACTTAACCAAAAAAAGAAAAGAAAAAGAAAAGAAAAAACAAGAATAGGGTTAAGTTAGTAGTTTATTGGTGGTAGTTGCTACATAATTGATGTCTGTTGGGCTATATATAATAAATCCACGTGTTTTTTGCGAGATAAATATGGACCTTTTTTTATTCACTGGCAACTGAGCAGCGAGTAGTAACACAAGTGATGAAGACTAAAGAATTCCTCAACTGAACAGTGTGTCAGCAACCAGGTAATCTCAGTTATCACTCAAGAATTCCTTCACTTACATTGCTACCATTGCTTGGAAATGGAGACTAAATTGGGCGCAGGTTTGTTTTGGTTTTTATTTTTTTCATTTATCCTTTTCGATGTTGTGATGCAAAGCGTCATTCTTTGGAAGCTGACATGGGCATGGAGATGGAAGGTGATGGGCGTGCCCGCATATCTTCAACTCGATCTGGAAGCAGATCTCGTCTTGCCTCCTGCACCAGCTGGCAGAGTCGACAACCAGGTAATTTCTAATCTCAGTTGTCACTCAAGAATAAATTCACTTACATTGCTACAATTTCTTGGAAATGGATATCGTATTTCATGAGTAAAAGATCGAAATTATTCTGTTGACACGGCTTCTACATGTTCCAATTAGTATGGTGTTAGAATTGTATGATGCACGATTCAATTCATACAATTTAATAAGAGTTTCAACCAAAATTATTTGAATTGTGTTGTTTGAAAATTGGGTGTCCTGTTGAATTGAGAATTGAGTAGTTCGTCTATGTTTTTGTTTACATAATGTATTGAAATGATGCCTTTTTCTGTTACTCTACGATGAAACAAAAATAGGACAATTGCTTATATTCATATACGTGGTTATATATAATTTATTTATATTGATACTATGTAGTATTTGACTTTGATTGCTACAGTGTTCCCACATATGTGTGAGGTTTGGAAATTCCTTTCCAATAATTCGGGCTATATTTGATAAGCATCCCGCGGATCTTGTATGAGAAGGAAATAAGAAATGGAAAAAAAAAAAAAAACTTTGTTTATAGTTTCATGTGGAAAAAACATGCAAAGAGCGAACTGCTAATACATGTATTATCTTATGCAATTTTATCTTTTCTTTTGTGGAAATTTTGTATTTCATTTGTTGTGACGGGTTATAGAAACCAAAAACTCACTTTCGTAGTTTTTAGATAATTAGAGATTGACAATTCCAACTTCCTTTACTTCATTCAAAAAGTTGTTCAGAATAATTGATCAGAATTATTTTGAGGAACCGGTTTGTGCATATTATTCAAGATAATTTTACTTTTAGGAGCAGTTAGTTTTTCGTTTGTATTTTTTTTTTCCTTTGTGTTTTTGGCTCTAACCCCTTGCAGCCAATGACACATAGAGACATGGTTAATCATTTAAGGTAATCTCCTATACTTTTTAATTTTATTTTTTACATTCAAGACAATGCATCGTTTAGGTTGGGGGCAGAAAATACTTATTTTGAGAAGAATTTATATATTTGCTTACTGCTATGAGTTAGTTGTTTTGTTTTTTTTTAAAAAAAAAGTTAGTGCTCATGGTAATCTTTTGTTCTATACATTGGGTGATTGGGCATACTTGTGGTATTTTATTGCTTTCACTCGAGAATTGTGTTGAAGTTTGATATGCTAGCTACTTTGTTACAGCATTCCATGTGTTCAAATTTGGAAATCATTGCACTACACTTCTGCCACATGTATATGATTTTTAGTTGATAAGTGGATATGACTTGAACATCTTGAAGAATGATAGTGGAGACTTTTAACCCTGTGAGTTTTGTGCCAATCATTTATTAGAGAGTTATTATACATCTAGTCTTAATTTTTCTTTGGAAACGCATTAATTTATTGTTTAGTCTCATTATTTTTTCATTTTTGGTTGAATGCTTAGAATAAATCAATTTGTTATCATACTTTTACTCCCTCGAGGACAATGCATCGTTCAGGTTGGGGGGAGAAAATACTTATCTTGAGAAGAATTTATATGTTGCTTGCTACAATGAGTTAGTTGTTTTGTTTAAAAAATAAAATAAAAGTGCGCACGGTAATCTTTTGTTCTGTTCTGTGCATTGAGTAATTCGGCATACTTGTAGTATTTTATTGCCTTAACTCAAGAAATTGTGTTGAAGTTTGATATGTTAGCTACTTTGTTAAAGTATTCCATGTGTTCGTATTTGGAAATCATTGTACTGCACTTTAGCCACATGAATATGATTTTTAGTTGATAAGTGGATATGACTTGAAAATCTTGAAGAATGATAGTGGAGACTTTTGAGCCTACGAGTTTTGTGCTAATCTTTTATTGGAGGGTTGTGATACATCTACTCTTAATTTTCTTTGGAAGCGCATTAATTTGTTGTTTAGTCTCATTATTTCTTAATTTTGGTTGCTGGTTAGTGTTATGCCAGCTCCGCCTTTCCCAGCTCCCGAAGCTCCATCAAATTTTAAGTCCCAATAAGCCTCAACTGCAGCTGCTGAGACATGGGCCGCACCTGGTAGAGATACCTCTGCAGGTTCATGTTCACCAGATGGGAATTGAGCCAGTAAGTCTGCAAGTGCTTGGCTCTTAATAGCCTTGGGAGTAACACAAGTGATGTCATATTCTGCTAGAGCCAAAAGTCATCCTGCCATTCTTCCAATCAGAGCGGGTTTGCTTAGCAAGTAGCGGACCGGATCACTCCAGGGTCACAACATGGATTGGGTGTGCCAAAAAATAGTGGCGCAACTTCCGCGCTGTGAAGATTAAGGCTAAACAATGCCTCTCAATTGGGGTATATCACGACTCGACACCATTGACTTTGCGACTGATGTAATAAACTAGCTTCTCAATGCCATCCATGTCTTGGACAAGTAGAGCCCCAATAGACCGAGGTGTAGACGTCAGGTACAGGAGCAGAGGCTTGTTGGGTTATAGGGCAATCATTGTAACTGCTTTCTTCACCACATCAAATGTCTGCTGGTGTTCTTGCAACCATTCAAACTTGTGATTCCCTTTCAGTAGTGTCCCACAGGAAAATGTTATCTCAGCAAGGACTGGAATAAACCTCCTGAGATATGACACTTTGCCTAGGAATTTCTTCAAAGCCTTCTGAGAGTGTGGTGGTGGCATCTCCATGATTGATTTAATCTTATCCCCATCTACTTCAATCCCCCGCCAGTGTACAAAAAAGCCAAAGAACTTGCCGGCGGTAACTCCGAAGGCACACTTGAGAGGGTTCATCTTTAGGCAGAATTTGCGGCACCGCTGAAAAACTTTTTCCAAGTCGCAGAGGTGTCGGTTTGCCTCGGTAGACTTGACCACCAGATCATCCATATATACTTCCACTTCATGATGCAACACGTCATGGAACACTACAGTCATAGCCCGTTGGTACGCTGCCCCCGCGTTTTTCAAACCGAAGGACATCACAGTATACAAAAAATTTCCCAAGGGTGTTCTAAATGCCGTTTTTTCTGCATCTTCTGATGCCATTTTGATCTGGTTATAACCACTGAACCCATCCATAAAGGAGAACATCTTATGGCCCGCAGTAGAATCGACAAGTGTGTCAACATGGGGCAATGGAAACTCATCTTTCGGGCAGGCCTCATTCATTCAGGTCGGGAAAGTCTACGCAGACCCTGATCTGGCCGTTCTTCTTCTCCACAGGCACAATATTTGCTAGCCAAGTTGGGTACTGTGTAGGCTCAATGAACTTGGCCCTCGGCAACTTTTCTACCTCTTCCTTAATCTTTGCCTCAAGGTCAGGGTGATACTTCCAAGCATGCTGCTTTATTGGCTTAGAGTTGGGAAAAGTATCCAGGTGATGGGTGACAAGAGACGAGTCAAGACCAGGCATCTCATCGTATGTCCAAGCAAAGACGTCACTGTACCACTTCAGTAGTGTTATCAATTCTGCCTTAGCTGTTGGAGCCATTGTGTCGCTGATGAACACGGGGCTTGCTCTGCCCTGGCAAGTCGCTGAGGTTAACCTCACCAAGTACCTCCTGCTGCGGTTTGGGTCTATCTTGCACGCATTCAGGGACAGACTCAGGCGTCTCCACCAACTCTTCTTGGAACTCGTCATCATCACATTTATTTGTCTCGGGGCCATCCTCCCAAGGTATGAAGCTTGCCTTCCAAAACCCGTCATAGGTAGTAAACTGTCTTACCGCCCTCCCGCACCTTAACAATCTTGGGCGGAGGACTTGTGGACTTGCTGCTCCTCTTCTGCCCACTACTTTCTGAAGCAGCCCCTGCATCCCGAACGCCTTCCCATTTTGGCAATTTTACTCCTGTAACTTTACCGGCGCTTGGAGTTTCACTCGTTGACAACTCAGTAAAGAAAAATGCATCCGAATAGTGTGCCTCCTCAACCCCAAATGGCTGTTCAGACGCATTTATATGGTTACTGTGCGCTTTCCCAACTTTGCCTTCACGCATTGGTGATAACTCGACGGGATAGCTCCATATCGGTGCATCCAAGCTCCGCAACGCAAAGTATCATGTGGCAATTTGTGTCCGCTTCAATCACATGAACCTTGGTTGCGGAACGAATCTCACCAACTGCTAAGTCCACGACCACATGGCCCTTGGTATCTTTTTTCTCGCTGCCAAAACCCGTCACAGTGATAGGTTGGCGAACCATCCTGGACTCTGGGACACTAGCCTTTGCAAAGGTGTCAGTGGTGATGATGTTTATGGGCGCCCCCGCCATCAAGGAAAGCACGCTTGAACTCTACATCATTGATGTATGCTGTGACAAAAAGAGGACAATTATGGGGAAATGGGTATGCTCTGTCTGCCTCTGAAAAAGTAATGGCCCCATAAGCTTCCTGGATGCGCTGAGGCGCATACTCCTTAGCCTCAGCAACTTCATCATGGTGCACTTCAAAGATATTAATGAAGGCTTTTGTTGCTTCCAACCTGGCGGCTTTGCTCAGACCCAACTGATCAAAGAAGGCGCAAAACTTAACTGAGTTTTGCAAGGCCTGGGCATTAGCATCCTCTGCGAATTTTACCTCTGCAGGTACACTGCCTCAGGGAGCTGGCCGGTTGCAATTTCTTCGAACTCCTCATAGTAAGATGCCATATGCACTTGATCACGCACAGGCCTGAGATAGCCAATCATATATGTACATTATTTCCCTTCCCCTTCTGGTTAGGATAAGGGTCCTTTCGCACATCACGGATGCCGGCAGCTTTGAACTTCAGCTCATTTGCGTCAACTTTCTTCTTGAAGATACTTTTCAAAGTCCAACAGTCCCTGGTAGGGAGTCTGGTGGTTCTGTGATAGACACAATAATCCGGGCTTTCTTTGTCCTTCTTGGTTGGAAGGACATCAACTGGAGCCAAGGTAAGTTCACCATCAGCTACCCATTCTTTAACCAGAGCCTTAACATTTTCAACGCTGCAAGGACATGGATTTTTGTCCTCATAACTCTTTCTCTTCCGGGAGGACGTCGCCTCCCCTAGCAAGCGGCTCCCTCCTGCAGAGGTTACCGCAGCAACTCTGCTACTGCGAGGGTAACGGTGGCTGTCACGAGATCGGTGCAAGGGACTAGTGGTACTGAGGTTCGTAGCTGCCTCAATCAAGGCTGAAATGGTAGGCAGATTATGATTCACCAAGAAAATTTTGTAGTCGCGCATGGCACCCTCCACACATATGCTGACTAAATAGCCCTCATCCACTGGTTCATGACAGTCAATAGCCTTATCTTGGAACCGCTTAACATAGTCCAGTATATCTTCACCCTCCTCTTGGACATCTCGCCCAAGGGTGAGGGTTGTAACTTTATCTTGGACTTTGAAGAACTTTGTGTGGAACTTGTTCACCATCTCCTCCCAACTCTTGATCGAGTTGGGAGCCAAGTTCACATACCAGCTGCAAGCCCTTTCAATAAGTGGACTTGGAGAACTCCCGAAGGCGCAGAGAGTGGTCACTGCCATGGACACCAAGAGTTTCAATGAACCTCACCACCTATTCTCTAGCATTGCCTTGTTTCCCATCAAACTTAACAAACTTGGGCACCATATACCCAGTTGGGTATGGCATGGTCAATATCTCCTGAGAGTATGGGGCCCTCACATCTGAGTCAGGGAGAGATGGGACTGGCTTCTTGCTATGAAGCATGGACACGCCAAATTTCATGCCGTGGCAGTGTCTGACACGGGGACACGTCGGGGACACGTACGGGACACGCCGGATGGCGTGTCCCTTTAATTTAATTATTTTTTTTGCAGGGACACGGAGGAGACACGGCAGGGACACGCGTGTCCACCAAATCTGGACACGCGTGTCCCAATCTAGACATAAAGAGCAAAAGAGAAGAGTAAAGGAGAAGAGTAAAACCTGGTCTTCGATCCAGTTGAGTCACCTGTCAACCTCCATTCAGTCGACCACCGCAAGTCACTCTCTCTCTCTCTCGCTTGTCGACCTCCATCTGTAAGTCTCTCTCTCTCTCGCCTTCCCTTTTGCTCTGTCTCTCTCGTTCTTGCATCGATCGCGTCGATCGTTCTCGCATCGATCGCGTCGCGTCTCTCGCTCTCGCATCGATCGTGTCTCTCGCGTCTCTGATCTGATCTGATGCTCTCACGTCTCTGATCTGATTCATTCATATATAATATATATATATATATATATTTATTAGGTTTAATATTAGGTTTAATATATATATATACATGTTTATTTATTTAATATTAATAAAAAGGCGGTGATGGTGGGGTTGAAAAAAGGAGGAGAGGAAGTGGGAGGTGGAGGGCAGCACATATGGTGGACAAGTGGGGTTTAGTGACATGGAAGTGACTTAGATGAAACCATTCACCGAAGCTAAAGTTGCAAAGCTTACTGGTTTAATTCTGTAATGGCGCATTAATCTCAAATTTTTATTAAAAGATATAAAAAAAAAAAAATTGCCGTCTCTCCAGCCGTGTCCGTGTCCCCATTTTTTTAAAAATTCCGTGTCCCGTGTCCGTGTCCGTATACATGTCTGTGTCCGTGCTTCATAGGCTTCTTGCTATGCTCTTGCTCGAGCATAACTTGTAC